TGTAACAAAACCCATAGTTTTGGATACAATACTGCGAAAAATGCAATACTTGAACAGCAATACTAAAAGAGATTTGCGTTCAATAGTAAAGGCAATTGTGTTTTGTTTTTAAAATCTATTTTACATCCAAATCAATGCAACACAAGTCTCTCTCCCATAAAACACAGACACGAATATAAAACACGGAATTTCACATTCATTTGAAAATGAGTTTTCCATTGAGTTGAGAGATAACGGGAGTCTAATGGGTGATTAAGTTACGTTAATAATAATAAGAGTTACGAATAATGTTTAACTCTAAATGAAAAATGCTCAATTTACAACACAATCAAAAATAAACGATTAATCACATTTCAAAAAGTAGAAATTATAATGAATACATTAAAATGTTTTGCTTAAAAATTGGTTAATTATTTCATATAAATTTTATACATAAACTGTTTGCTTTAGTTTTATAATAAGGTTAATTTATCATAGTCTTAAATACAATTGTAATAATTTTATTATATTATTTTAGTCTTTTTATATTTGTATTAATAAATTAACAGTAATAAAAAGATAATTAAATGAGTATTTATTTAATAGTTTGCAAACTTATATAGTATTTGATAAGCATTTCTATTTATAAGACAAATAACTACACAATCAATAGTTAGAAGAAAATTAAAAAAAACAAAATATAAAAATAAGAAACAGAATCTAAAAATTATAAATAAATTCTTGTGGTTTAATCTTCAGTGGTGTGTCCGCCACCGCCGCCGCCATTGCCCACGGGATCAGGTATTGTACTCTTGCGGTCTTTGTTAGCTCCGGGAATGAACTCCTCAGTTGACGCGCGACCGGCTTTGATGGACGACAGCTCCCGATCACTAATGGAGTCCTCCTCAACAGATAGGTCTCCGGGAACTCTCACTCGTGTCCGACCCGTTTGCACACTCTTTTGCTGTCCAACCGTTTTTGGGCCCGTTTTTTGACCAGATTTTTGGGCACAGTTTTCGAGATACCATTTCTTGATTTGCGACCGAAACACGTATGCGATTATCATTAAGAGGATGACTGCCATAATCCCTAATATAATACATATTACGATCGCGGGGTCTGGGTTTGCCATTAATGGATCCGATCTCTTGTATGGATTGTTATTTCGCGAATGAATTCAATTAGTGATACAAAACCACAAATCAAAACAAGAATTTAAAACACAAAATACTGATAATATCTGTTCACAAATTAAACTCAGATTTTACTTATTTATAAGTTTTACAACTCTTTCATCTAATGTTTGGCTTAAATATAGATAACTGTCTGTTATTTCTTGTAATGGTTTTTAAACTGAAAATAATTGAAATTTGATTTACATATTCACGAGATTGTTAACTGATTATTGTTAAATTATGTAAAATAAGTTAACAAAATACTCATATATAATTGTTCATGATCAACTCGTTTATTGTTGTTTTATGAATTTACAGTTGGAATACAAACAATCAAATAGTGTTTCATTTTTTGTTTTAATTGTTAAAATATAGTATACAGTATCCTGAGTACATATTTTTAGATTGAGTATTATTTTAAATAATAACGAGATCATTCAATTACAGTCATTCAGCCAATTGTCTAATGAGTCAAATGTGAATCTTTGTATTGAATGCAAGCAATAATTTCATTCACTATCTCTATACTCAATACGTGCTCGGATTTTAGCCAACTACACAGGCTGAAACACAGTTTATTGAAATCTAAAACTCTCAAGGTCTAAAACTCTATTATTTTCAATTATTAGTTAGATTTATTTATACACTTTATAAGCTATAAATTAATGAACAAAAATGAATTTTAATTTTACTTTATAAAATGCTAAACAAATATTTTGTTGTTAAATATAAAGTTATTTTTTAAATTATAGTAATATAATTTACTCGGTTTTTATATTTATATAAACAAACTTTACTTATATTTGTTTTCTCTCCAAAAATCATCTAAAATTAAATATTTTAATATAAATTTTATATAAAAACAGTGTAATAGAGATGTCATTATAAATAATTTGCATAATTCAACATTAACTCAGAATTTGTTATTTTTAGCGTTAAAACTATAAAAGTTGTCCAATTATTAAAATTATTAAATTACGTAAATTTATTAAATTGCACTAAAATTATAGTAAATAATAACATCAAAGAGAGAGAGAGAGAGAGAGAGAGAGAGAGCAGTGAAAGTGATTGTACGGACAGACAATGAATGTCACCCGAAAGCACAGTCCCTCTCCTCCCCTGTCCTCCCAATCCATCTCTACCTTCAATACCAACTCATTTCGTTTCTCTCTCTCTTTCTCTCTCTCTCTCTCTGAAATGTAATTTAAAGAGTGGTCTTAAGACATAAATGTTTTGAAAACATAAGTTATTTGCTTTTCTCTGAAGAAATCAAATAAATCTATGGATTATTATTACTATTGTATGGGATGTGTATAGAAATGTTTGGTCAACACAAGTGTAATAGACTTTTATGTCCGTAATCTTCAAGAATAAGTGCCAAACAATTGGCTAAAAATACATAAATAATGAATGCTTTAAATGAGAATTTTTCGTCTGTCTTTCAAAACTACAATAAAACACGAAATTTCTGACTATTATTTCAAATAATATTTGTTTTATAGACAATAGTATTATTTCTAATACTAATATAGAAAGTATGAGATTATTTCATATCTAACATAGCAAATGACATAAATAGCTTAACTCAGCACTTATATTGTTAGCCATACATGTTATATATTATATTATCTAATAATATTGGCTAAATGTGCTCGATCACACTCAACATTAAGTGTAATATCTAGCTTCACAAATGTACTCACATTTACATAATATAATGCATTAGTTTTAAGAATTTATAAAAACATTACATCAAAAATGCTTTATATCGACATAAATGTAATATATTTAGAAATGTGTTGATTAATAATAATAAGTTATAATAAATGCATTCATTAATTTAATGTAAAATTAATATTTTATACTGTTAATATAGTATGTACAGCATGATATGATCGTGATTATTTAAATTACCAATTAAAATACCAATTATGGTATATTCTATTAAAATGCAAAATATATAAGTTTTTCATTAAAATCGAAACTAAAATTTTTGTTCATAAGAATTGAAATTATAAAACAACAAAACAAATGTCTTATGGTTTTGAGTTGCAATAAAATGATAAATCCGTTTCACTTCTTTTTCATTATTCATTTAAATAATTGAATGAATTTGAGTTTTGTAACAAAAAAATTGTCAAATAAAAACATTTTACTATTTTTGCAATTTTATCAATAAATTATTTAAACAAATCTCAAACAGACTTTTAACAAAAAAGTTATTTTGTCTTATTATTCATGTCATCCATTCTTAATGCAAATTATTCTCTTATTTCATACAAATTTCATAACCAAATGAATAAATCTTTTAATTTTTCTTTCAGTTTTCTTGAAATGTTTTAACCAATGAATTAATATTCCCATTGAAATCAATTGTGAAAAATAGGCTATGATTTATGGTTGTATTAAATGCTGTAACTGATAAATAGCAACAAAAATTTATTTTATTCATATATTTATAACTATATATTACGGACGACTTGTAATGAAAGAAATTTTTCTATAAATTTAATGATTGAGAGGAATAGATATATGTATTGCTATTAATTTACTGCTGGAAAAAGGGAAGTGAATATAAAATTCAGTTTTCATGGCTTAGTATTCATTCATTTCCAGTCATTTATCAAAGAGAATAAGAGATTGTAATCCAAATCTACAATCAATTCAATAGAAAATTGTATAATTGATGGCATTTGAGAGGAGAGGACCGGAGAGAGTGTATTGAGGGAAACGACATGAGTTGGTATTGAAGGTAGAGATGGATTGGGAGGACAGGGGAGGAGAGGGACTGTGCTTTCGGGTGACAATCGTCGGTACAGTGTTTATGTTTGACTGCAAAAACTAACAGCAATTCAGACACAATTCATTGCTTTGGCCACAAGAAGAGTATGCAAACGATTGGCCCCTTTTGTGTATACATTAAAACTCATACAACAGTTATATACACACTATTAGGGTTGTAGTCGAGGGGCAAGACATTCATATGGAGAGTGGAAATGGATAGATGGGTGACTGACTGAATGGCTGTTTTGTATGGAGAGAGAGAGAGAGAGAGAGAGAGAGAGAGAGAGAGAGTTATTTTGATAAGTAAAGTGAGAGAGCAGTGAAAGTGATTGTACGGACAGACAATGAAAATTGAAAAATTAAAGCAAAAATTGTAGAGAAATGAATGAGAGAGCTCTGCGCTGATGTAATACACAATATTTCCATACGACACGACATATGCCCTGATTTATAGCAGTAGTGAGGGGTCGGCCCTCAGCTGAGGTCATACCAGAAATGAAATCCCCCAAAAACCGACGGCAATAAGCATTTGGTTTTTATTATTTGTTGTCATATATGGAGAAAGAGCTACTTATATGCCGTAGTAAACCGTACTCCCATTCCCCTCATCTCTCTCTCTCTCTCTCTCTCCCCTTCGGACTCTCTTATCGGACTTTACCCCAAACTCTCATCATAGATACCGAGATTGATTTTCACACAAAATTTGTCAAATAAACTAAACCACTATATTATTGTGGTGTGAATTTTTGATATCAAATCAAATAAATTAAAAAATAAAACCAATTCATTATTAAAACTTATTTAATCGCTTTTATTTTTTTTATAAAACAAAAGTCACCATTATAAATATTCATGAGTGAATCAAATGCACTTGGTTACGAAATATTATTTATCTGGCCAATTAGTGTACATTAAATTAAAATTCCATAGTTCAGTATATAAAGATCAATGTTATTTAACTGGGTGAAATAGTGTACATTATGCACATTAATTAAATTTAATACTTTGATGTAGCTAGTGTCTTATTATATAAAAAGTGATGTATAAGTAATATATGTAAAAATGCTTGTAATTTATTCATCATTGTTTATCGTAAATTGCATTTACATGTCTTAAAAGTATAAATAGTAACCAATAGTTTTCATTTTGCCTAGACGGTTTTTTAATATTTATATTTATTCAACATTTCTTAATCTATTTAATGTAAGTTATCATAAATGTTCAAAAATATTAATTTTATTGATCACTCATATTTTGATTTATCCAACATCTAGCTCATTATAAATCAAATTGCCTTATGTCCGCAACTTATTAGCTAGATTAACGTGTATAAAATTTAAGTAAGTATAATTATTTATATTTAATACTTGCAATTTAATTGTATTATTGACATCAATGTTAACATGCTTTAGCTTACTTAATTATAATATAAATTAATTAAAAAATATAATACATATGTATATGATAAGTTATTGTTTGTGTTATAAGTTATAACAACAATAATTTTATTTGTGAATATTCTTTTACTAAAATATTGTGTTAAAAAGATAATGTAAGACTAACTAACTGACCTTGATCAAATCAGACGTTCATAGTACAAAACAAAGTTATAAATACATAGTTAGATACACAATCCGTATTTAACCGAAACCCAAAACAAGATACCATTAATTAAAAGTATATAGTTTAACTTAAAAACATTATAATTTTTAGTAAACATGATAAATTCTGATGAAAGCTCGTAAGTAATTACTTTATTAAATCACACAACAATTAACTTTGTTAAACTTTCTAATTCTTATTAAACACACTAAAATTATTATTCAAATTAATATTTTAACATTATTTTTACAATCTAGCTAATCACGCTCAAACCTCGCAAGAATTGGGACACCGCAATAACAACAAAACTAACATGGAGGAAACGAAAATCATCCAGCAGCTATTGCTACTCATACAGTTCATACCATTTATAGGGCCGGCACAGTATGCCATTGAGGCCATTGTGGCCTACATGTGTGGCAACCAGGAGAAGGCCCGGGACAAGGGTATCACGTCAACCATAAACGGCCTGATCGATTTGGCAGCGCTGGCACTGTTCCTGCTATCGGCAGCCCATATAGCCGTGCAGTGCGATCGCAGCGCTACGCTCCAGGCCCTCAAACCCATATTGACCGCCAGTTGTGTCATTACAGTCGCCTCCATATTAATCGGCGCAAAGATTATTGCCGAACAGTTAGCACGCGCTGTCGTCGAAAAGGTTAACTAGATCATTTATATATTTAGTTATAATTAAAATCAGTCATAGCTAGCCTGTTATATACTGTAACAATAATTGATGATAAGTTAAAATAAAATCTAATTAAATTTTTTTATAATTACATAAATATTATTATTGTTGAATGCTATTCAAAATATACCAAACTGATTTTTAAAAATTAAATACATTTAAATGTCATTTACAGGTGCTATCTGTGCACACGGCCAGCACATCTATGGTCAATACGGTTACTATAACTGCCACAGGCATTGAGGCAGTGGTCGGCACTATAAACGAGGCCACAAATGTTACTACCAATCGGGTTAAGTCTGGCTATACTAAGGCTACCAATACTGTCAAAACAGTAATTAATACACCAAAGACTACAAGTGATTATATTGCCAAAATTATCACCAAGATCGTACGCCTTATTAAATCACGCGTTCAATTAATCATTGCAAAACTAACCGAGATGATCAAACTATCCCTGCAACTATTATTGTCAATCATCATTCATATCGGAAAACTTGTATTAAATACTATATTAGATTTGTTGCACAGGTTTTTGCCCGATCTGACAAAATACCCGCCGGTGGCCGCCATTGATCGTAATATTGTGCGACCAGCTTTTAATACAATGATCATGATTGCTAGCAAAATTCGCCTTTTTAAATTAATATAAATTTCTAATGATTAAACTTTATTACTTAATTATTATATAGTACATAAGATTTTATCAACAATCAAGATATATTTTATTAGATTTTAATCTCTATATCTGCATTTATATTTAAAAACGCCATGTAATCTCATCAAAACTTTTTGTAATTATTATAACTTATAATTATAACATCTAATATGTTATCAAATATTAAATTTTAAAACATGTTCTAAAACAATTGCCAAAACTCAAAATATTATTGTATTAGTTCAATTTTTAAGGATATTTTAAAACATAACTGAAAGTATTTATACAGTATATTAGTTATATTTGGGGTAAGAGGTGATAAAATACCATTAATAATTTTTCCTGGCCCAAACTGGTTTTGTGTTTTTTTGCAATCACATAATAGGCTTAACACTTAGCCCTGAATGAGTTAAAACAGTTTTAATAAAACTGAGTTAAAACCAGGAGGTAGTATAATTAATATACGGCCCCCATTTATAATGTATAATTCCTATTCTGCGTGCACCGTTTGTGCACTCGAACTACATGTAGGTTAAAACGTTAACGTATTGTTCAATAATATTCTGTATTCTCTGCACACAAACAGGTATTGAATGCTTTGAACAGATAATGTGTTTGTGGAAAACATTGCATCAGACAATCTTCTTTGTCAACAAAAAAAAAGTTGTTTTGTTATTAATATTTTGCGCCAAAATTGACATTAGTTTTAATTACAGCTTTAATTAATGTATAAGTGAATATTGTTTTTTAATCGAGCCTATTAATACTTAAAATCCTGCAAATTAAATGTCGTCACATATCCAAGAGGTATATCGTTTAAATGTGTTATCCAAACGCTCACCACCACCGCTGCCATGGACTCCGTATCCGCCGATGACCAATGATCATCCGTTTCAATGCCCGTACCCTGAGTGCAGTAATTTATTTGGTCGCCCTATAGATCTCATTGATCACATGCAAATATGCCACCTGTGGTCGGCTACAAAGTACTGGTGCCAATGGCCCGACTGTAACTATAAGGCAACTAGGGTGACCGCTTTAGCCAGCCATCTGCGTGTGCACAGCACTAACAAGCCATACAAATGCGAATGGCCCGCGTGTACGTACCGGGCCCGATTCCCGTCTAATCTCAAGGCTCATTACGTCAGTCACGGCGATTGGCGGCCGTTCGCCTGCGAGTGGCCCGACTGTGGCCAACGGTTTAAGAGTAAAGACGCTGCGAAACGACATACAGTTAAGTTGCACAAAGAAGACCGACCGCCGGACAACTACCGATTTGTCTGCCATCGCCACAACTGTTTCAAACTGTATAAAACTTTGTCCGGTTTGACCAGACATGTTAAATCAACGCACACGTCAGCCACCTCAAGCCAGATACCGGTGCCGCCCGAAATCGGCAAAAGTCCAGCGCCCGATGCAATTGAGGTGACCACTCACACGTGCTATGTGCCCGGCTGTGAGTACTCGGCCAGTACGGCGAGTGCGTTGAGATATCATTGTCTCATACATTGAAATGATGTTAAATGAACGTAAAAATGATGCTTAGAGGGCATCGCAATAGCCTACCGGATCTCACGCATACTGTTTATATCAATTTAATTGTCAAATTTTACCTCGATATTATAATATAGTGCCATATATTCAATTAAATTGAACTGTATTGAATTTATTGTTGTTTACAGACGCCGTGCAATTAACTAGTGTTGATTTTCAATGCACACGTCTAAAGTAGAATATAGTAGAGTGCCTTGTTTATTTTACTATAACAGTAAGTTATTTACTTATATAACATTAGTTATTTACAACGTGTAGAAGTAGTTAATAGTTTTATTTATTTAGATGTAGTCAATCGAGTGGTTCTGTTTCAATATCTGATATAAATGATGTGAACTCGAGTTAATACTTAAGTTTTGCATTAAAATATTGTTTGCTCAAAACTTGCATTTATTCAGTCATAAAATTATAAATAATAATTTTTAAGTAAAATTATATATTTTATAAACATCTATATATTAATGATGCAACACAAATTAAATATATTTAACCATTTAACATTTTATTATTACGATGATCTCAAGATTATTGCCAAATGTTTCATTGTTATTACATGTAAAATTTTTTAACATTTTACATAATGAACATTATTATTCACAGTTATTTTATAATGGAATTATAACCTATGTAATAAATTGAAAATATTTTCTATGAATAAAATATGTACTTTTACAAAAACCTATTTTAAATGATAAATTAGTTTGATAAGTTAAAAATTCTTAAAAAATTAATCAAATATTACATATAACAATGTTATTCTGCACCTTTGGTAGGTGATAGTGGCCCATCCGGGTCAGTATTGACAAATGTTTCATTGAACACAAACTGTTCAATAAGATTACGACCTGTGATAACCTCCGGAGCCGCTCGGGTGGCCTAACGTTATGGCCAAGTGTATGATATGATTAGTTTTGGTTACAACTAAAGTCACCCGCCATTGATCGTAATATTGGCAACTAGCTATTAATCAAATAATCATGGTTGCCAACAAACTTTGCCCTGTTAGAATAAATTAAATTTCTAATTAAGAAACTTTATTACTTGATTATTATATAGTACACAAAAGATTTTATAAATAATCTTGATATATTTTAGTAAATTTCAATTACTATATCTGCATTTATATTTAAAACGCCATGTATTCTCATTAATTTTATTGTTTGTGTAATTATTATAAGTTATAAACAAACATTATATTTTAAACCATGCTAAAAATATTCTTGTATTAATTCAGTTTTTAAATATATTTTAAAACATAACTGAAAATATTTATACAGTACTGTATAGTAGTTATAGTTGGGATGAGAGGTGATAATAACCAGTGAAATTTTTTCTATCCCAAACTGGTTTTGTGTGTTTTTTTACAATGAGCTAAAAGGCTTAACACTTGTTAGCCCAGGAAAGGATTACAATGCTAGCTTAACGTATTGTTTAATAGTTATGTATTCCGTAATTGTATGCTTTGTGTGTGTTTTGTTTTGGTAAACATTGCATAAGACAATTTTTTTCTTAGTCTACAAAAAACAACAAAAAAGTTTTTAATATAATTTGTTAATATTTTGCGCCAAAACTGCCATTATTTTTAATAATAAGCAAGAATAGTTTTTAATTAAGTCTATTAATACTTAAAATCTGGCAAATTAAATGTCATATATCCAAGAGTTATACCATTTGAGTGTGTTATCCAAACGACTGGCGCCTCCGCCATCGATAGCGTATCTGCCGGTGGCTATTGATCAGCCGTTTCAATGCCCGTACGAGGAGTGCAGCAAACTATTTAGTCGCTCAATGGATCTCTACAATCACCTGCTACAATGCCACCAGTGGTCGCCCAAACGGTACTGGTGCCAGTGGCCCGGCTGTAACTATAAGACAACTACCGTGGTCTCCATAACCAGCCACTTGCGTATGCACAGCACTAACAAGCCATACGAATGCAAAGTGCCCGCGTGTACGTACCGGACCCAATTCCCGTCTAATCTCAAGACTCATTACGTCAGTCACGACGATTGGCGGCCATTCGCCTGCGAGTGGCCCGACTGTGGCCAACGGTTTAAGACTAAACTCCATTTGAAGCGACATATCGTTAGGGCTCATAAAGGAGATGCACCATCTGCTTGTGTGTTTGTCTGCCACCGCCACAACTGCTTCAAACGGTATAAAGAAAAGTCCAGTTTGACCAGGCATGTTAAATCAACGCACACGTCCGCCACCGTTGCAACCGCTAGCCAGGAACCGGTGCCCGAAACCGGCAAAAGTTCAGCCCCCAATGCAGTTAAGGTGACCGCTTACAAGTGCTATGCGCCCGGCTGTCAATACTCGGCGAGTACTTCAAATGCGTTAAAATATCATTGCCTAATACATTGAAGTAAAATATGAACGCACAAGTGATGGTTATCAGGCATTGCAATACCCTACCGGATCTCACGCATACTGTTTATATCAATTTAATTGTCAAATGTTACCTCGATATTATAATATTGTGCCATATATTTAATTGATATAAATTGTATTGTTGTTTACAGACGCCGTGCACTCAACTAGTGTTGATTTTTAGTGCAGACGTCTAAAGTAGAATATAGTAGAATACGCTGTTTATTTTAATCTAAAGTTAGTTATACAGTATAATATTAGTTATTTACAACGTGTAGAAGTAGTTAATAGTTTTAGTTATTTAGTTGTAGTCAATCTAATGGATCTGTTTCAATATCTGATATATCAATATATTAAGTTTTGCATTAAAATATTATTTGCTCAAAACTTGCATTTATTCAAAGTCATAAATAATAATTTTTAAATAAACTTTTATATTTTATACACATCTATGTATGTATTAATGATATTTATTACAAATCAAATGTTATTAAATAATTTAACTCAAAATAACTCAACTACTGTAGTGTTGATTTTTAGTGCAGAAGTTTAATGTAGAATATAGTAGAATACGATGTTAATTTTACTGTAGGTTATTTACTTATATAATATTAGTTATTTACAACGTGTAAAAGTAGTTAATAGTTTTAGTTATTTAGTTGCAGTCAAATTAGTGGTTCTGTTTCAATATCTAATATGTGACCAGGAGTTAATTCTTAGGTTTTGATTTAAAATATTATTTGCTCAAAACTTGCATTTATTCAATCATAAAGTTATAAATAATAATTTTATATTTTATACACATCGATATATTGATGATGTGTTTGTTTCAATATCTGTGTTTCCATTAACTTATTGTTTGCTCAAAACCTGCATTTATTCAAAGTCATAAATTTTTAATTAATAATTTTTAAATAAAATATTATATTTTATACACATCTACTGTATATATTAATGATATTTATTACAAATTAAATATTATTAAATAATT